TCAGCTCCAGTGACGCTACATTAGACTTGATAGAAGATATGTCAGACTCGATCTTGTCTAATTGAGCTCACCGTAAGTCCATTCTCTCAGGCATAGCCATAATGTGTGCTAGATCGGTGGGGTTAGGGTGTATTGGTGGCTTGGCACCAGCTGCGGGGGTGGGGTCCGGGTGGTAGTGACCCTGGGTGTCTGGGTGGGTCTGAGGGTGCAGTACCTGTTGCCGGGGTGTGTAGGGTATCCGTGGGTTGTGGGGCCAGACTCGTTACGTTCCTCTCGCGTGATGCGGGTGGGCTCAGGGTGTCAGGTCTGCAAGATTAGGGTCGGTCTCGCTCTCGACTTCCTAAGACAACATGACATCCAAACTCTACAATAGCCTGCACTCATTCAGGATTTAAGTCGATTCAAAGAAGACTTAATGACCCCCGATCAAGGCCGACAACTGTGGCTAAACTCGATCAGACATTTCGTATATGGACCTAAGTGCATATGGCCTTCATCAACCGGCTAGTTCATTCCATGTACAGACAATGCAACGATTTCATCGATGTCCATGGATGCCCACACACGATACTACATTTGGGGTATATCAATGGTAAACACGTCACAATTTAATTCTGGACTCACAAAAGTCCAGAAACTCTCTCACACTGTGGGCACTTTCTGACAAGGGATTTGACCAAATTAAACATGCAGTTGTTATGAATATATGCCAAGGATGAAAAATGAAAAAAAGATTTTCGAAAACTTTAAATTTCAACTCGCTCGCCCATGGGCGAACAATGGCCATATGGTCGAGAATGTTTAATTTCGCTCAGAATTCATGTTTTGACGGTTGTAAATGAATGAGTGTATGTTTATAAGTATCATGGCACAAAATTCAACTCATTTTGACTTAATTCAGCTAACATAGAGCGATGTTAAAAAATCACGCCCAAGGGCGAAAAATATGTTGGTCCATGGGCGAGGATATTTACTTTTACTCAAAATACATGTTTTTCCTTGTTTTGAAGGTTGTAAATGAATAATGGAAAGTTTGTAAGTATCATGACAAAAAAAATAAACTGTTAGGACTAATTTCGACTAATTTATAGCGTTATTTAAACAATCTCGCCCATGGGCTTAACAAAATTATTTCTCCTATTTATGAAAACAGAATGCGAATTGCTTCATTTTATCCTTTTGATCAGGGTTGGTTGAAAACAAATGTAATAAAGACATATCACTGATGAAAACGATATGAGTGTGAGTGAGTTAATATACTCCAGTATATCGTCACATCGGCAATATTTCAGCCATATTTTGACTTGAACCAATTAAACATTGATGAGGAATAAATGTTTTGTATATAACCTGTCGTCAAGGGACAGTGAAATATCCAGAATATCAATCAGATTTAAACCTGGCATTTAATATTTATATAATAGCACTATTTGGACAATACACAAAATGAAAACAGGTTATAGACAGCCAGCAACTGAATTTAGATCACCATTTAGACTTTAGCTACCTGCGAGAACCCTAGAAGGACTTACATGGTCCCTTCATACGTTGGCGATTGTGCACAAATTTAGCCATCACTTAAAAACACAAGTATCCTACTATTATAAACCTGGTATATCTAAATTTACTTCAAATGTTTTGAGACTTACGTACCCTCTCAAGAAGACAAAACTGTGAAACCCGTGAAGATCCGGGTTAGAATTGGCCTTCAGTAACCCATACTCATCGTAAGAGGCGACTAACGGGATCGGGTGGTCGGGCTCGCTGGCTTGAATTGACACATGTCATCGGTTCCCAGTTAGCGCCAGATCGATGATCATGCTGTTGATCACTGGATTGTCTGATCCAGGCTCGATTATTTACAGACCGCCGCCATATAGCTGGAATATTGCTGAGTGCGCCGTAAAACTAAACACTCATCCAATTGCGCAGATCGATGCTCACGCTGTTGATCCCTAGATTGTCTGGTCCAGACTCGATTATTTACAGACCGCCGCCATATAACTGGAACATTGGTGAGAGCGACGTAAAACCAAACATACTCACTCCTCACTCCAAACTGTGACAAAAGGAACACCTCCAGCTACCAACAATGTCAACAAGAACATAATGGTGTCCCTGCATCAATACATCTTCAAGACTAAACGAATTGATAAATTATTCTAGACCAATATCTGTACGCAAATAATGAAATGTAACTGCAAGTTCATGGTTCCTAAGCTCGTACAATGCACATTTATTCACCTCATGTAATGACTATCTCTGATTGATTCACGTGACCTTGAACAAATTACCATGTATGCCGGGTGCACGGTCGTACACTGCTTGGGTGGTGTAGTACAAATCATCAGGCAGAATATATCATTTATACCCCGCCCAATGGAAAAAAAACATGCATCCACGGCAGTCAGTGAACCGTGAAGCAGTGGTTCAAATCGACTAGTCAGTACCATGTTAGTGAAATATATGACTGAATTTCAGCTTGTTTTGATGCTATATTTACATGAAGTGAGATTTAAGATATTTTTACCTAAGGTTATGTATTTATGTGGTTTTATAAAAATCTTTCTATGGTGTATATTTGGACCCTCTAGATAACATTGTCTCATAAGCCTGTTAAGGTTGGATGTATGTAAAACATTATGTGTTTATTTTATATGTATTTTATATCTTGTTTACATACATGGGTCACTATGTCTGTCTGTCTGTCTTTCTTTAAACATTCGTTAAGATAAATTCTGTTTACTATTGTGATGCGGGGTGTACGGGGATTTTTGCATCCCGGTGTATCCACCTAGCCAAAGGCGTCAGCGACAGTTTGCTACTACTTATGATAGGAATTAATTTGACGTTTTTGTGTATCCAGTTCTTGTGTATTCTGTTATATTACATATGTACTGGTGAAGTATTAATAAAAGCAATGTTTTGCTTGTTTACCAAACCAGATTCTCTGAGAATATAAATATGTTTAAACCATATGTTCAAAATTGAAATACAATATGGCATTTCCAAGTTTGACGCATGACACGGCTAGAGAATATCGGTTTCACATTGGCAACCTCTTGTGCTGTCTTATCTCGTATAAACCTCAACCCTCCCACAATATCTTTATGCGCCTTTCCTTTCAGGCCACAATGAGGTGATTTAATTCCGATTGAATGGCCTTATCTTGTCAGCTGGTATTTCTGTACATAGGTTACACTGTTACTGTGGTGTTCAGGGTAAACATGTGACACGGAGATAGGCACGCACGCACGCACACACACACGACGACACGGAAACTCTCTCAGTCACACACACACACACTCTCTCGCACACGCTCTCAGAGAGAGAGAGAGAGAGAGACTCACTCACCCTTGCATTCGGTTACAGCATTTAATATGTACTTGATTGTGACATTGTACTTTTTGCATAAAATTCAAAAGCTCTTACTTCTCTGTGTCATATTGTTTAGTCAAACGTTATCATAGTATTGCGCGGAAATCTGAAATACAATATTGATTTAATGTAATAAATGGTGTCTTTTAAATATATTTCAGCAGAGGTTATCAGTATTTAGATATGTGCTGTATTGCATGCAATTCTTAGCATTCTGTCAGTGAGCTACTTAATGAAGCCCATTGTGATATTGTTGGAGTATTGCTAAAACCGACGTAAAACCATACTCACTCACTATACACTACTTTAGATGCTAACATTGCCACACAACTCCACAATCTCACAAGGAAACGAAAAGATTTGAATGAAAATGCCCAGACGTTTACCCTTTCGGTGAATTCAGTATAAATGTGACAAATTATATGTTGGCTGTTTCTTACAAAGAGAGTGGATTTCATTCAAAGCTGTAACCTGAAACGTATTCCGTACAAAGGTAGTACAGTCATTGTGAGCTGGTCCATGGCGATACACCACCTCTATCGAATCTTGACAAAACACATTTTTAACGTGGTTAAACAGAATTGCTTTCCCACAGAGAACGTGGATTATCTATTTTTGTTGTGTTTTGTGTAGAGTAGACAGACAGATTTTTCAACGTTGTTTAAAGCATTATATCTATATGAAAGCATACTTTACGCTCCGACATGTTGTCAAGCTGAGCTGCACCCAAACATGAAATATACTTTTGCTGCAAAATTAAATAACATAAATGACTCATTTATAATAACATGTAACTCAAGAAAGGAAGAGCACAAATACAAAAGTATAAATTGTATGTATTCTACACATGGTTCAGGTTTGTTATTTTAAATGATTGATGAGGGTAGAAAAACCTTGTCCTTTATGTAACGTTGGAATAGAAAATGAAATTCATTTTACACTGTTATCAGGAATTAAGGCAGAAATATATACCAGACCATTTACTAGTAAAACAACCTCTGTATGCATTTATATCTATATAACCCCCCAAAAACAAACAACAACAACAAACAAAACCCCAAAAACAAAAACAAAACACACACCCAAACCAAACCAAACAAAACAACAGCAACAAAAACAACAAAAAACAACAACAACAAAACAAAAACAACAACAACAAACAAACAGACATTGGTACAAATCCAGGGAGAGACATTCTACACCAGTTACATTCATTCAGTTAAGCATCTTCTTGAGAAGTTTGTGGAACTTGGATGGGATTTATGCTTGAAATATACTGGACAAAATAAGTTAGGGATATTGTTATTTTTATGATTGATATTTTATCAGTGTGTCAATGACTATATAGATCGTTATTCATAATTTCAAAATGTACATTTATCCCTAACTATTGTTGTCCAGTATATTTAGTAACCGATGCAGTCAACCGCACTAAAACTCAGAACGTTTCAGCTCCCGTTTTACGTACATGGGCGACCACAATATTTATCTGTTGAAGTTTAAAACATGAGACTTTCTCTCGCATAAAATGAAATATTGCGCAGTCATTTAACATTTTTACTCGATAACTAAAGATTTCACCGCATTTAACATTGTGCAACTTTGACTGTACCCGTCAAGCAACATTCCACCTGCATGACTCAATGTTTATATTCAGTACATCATAAACTTACGACAACACAAATATGTGAGCTGTTATGCTCATGTAAGGAACAAATGCTTTTAGTATTCTTAAGAAATATAGCTCTGAATAGACACGACACAGTTACAACACTCAGTAGACTTGGCGCAAACTGTTTGTATTGATACTTCTGAAATTATTGAATCACAAGGTGGATTTAGACGTGAGTATTCTACTATTGACAACATATTTATTTGGATTGCTTTGATAGAGAAACAAATAACGAAGAAAAGAGGGAAATTATATGCAGCGTTCATAGACTTTAAGAAGGCCTTTGATACGGTAAGGAGACCAAAACTGTGGAAATTATTCAATCGCATCGGAATAAAAGGCAAGTTATTTCAAATAATACATAATCTGTATAATGATGTCTCTGCTTGTGTAAGAAATAACAGCAATTCTTCAAATGTCATGTCTGTTTAAAACAGGGATGCATTATGAGCCCTTTGATATTTTCAATATACATAAACGAATTAGCAACTGGTATTGAATGTTCAGACTGCTATGGGCTACAACTTATGCCTGATCCTGTACATATATATTTACTTCTTTTTGCTGACGACATTGTGCTGTTTTCTAGTGTGGGTAAGGACCTCCAAAAACAGTTAAACATTCTGTCTTCATTTTCGATCGAATTTGGATTGAAAGTTAATATGGCAAAATCAAATATAATGGTATTCAGAAAGGGAGGTGTGTTAGGTACAAATGAGAAATGGAACTTTGAAGGAGTCGAGTTAAAAGTTGTGAATAATTATAAATACCTTGGTATATATTTCACTCCTCAGTTATCATGGAAATATGCTATTAGTAGAAGAGCCCAGTAAGGGAAGCGAGCTTTAAATAGTGTTCTACAGACATTGAATATGAACTGCACTATAAATAGCAAGATATTCTTCCATATTTTTTATACCAAAATATTACCAATCCTAACATACGGATGTGAAATTTGGGGATATAAGCAATACGATGAACTAGAAAGAATTCAGTTAACAGCTTGTAAGAGATATTTACAACCGGCAGTTAAGACGCCAAATTATGCTGTCCTTGGTGAATGTGGCCGCTTCCCTCTTTCTGTTAACACTTTAGTAAGAGTCATTAAATACTGGCTTAAAATAAACAGGATGCCTGACCATAGATATGCCAAAACATGTTACAGAATGTCACTTCGTTATGATACTAACGGAAAAGTAAACTGGGTTACCAAGGTAAAAACATTTTATGCTCTAATGGATTTATGTATGTATGGGTAAATCAAGGGTGCAAAACATAAACTTATTTCTCCAGAAATTCAAACAAAGAATGAAAGATGTATTCATATCAGAGTGGTTTAATTCAATAAATAGTACATCTAAACTACATAGATACAAATTGTTTAAGTACAAATTTGAAACTGAAGAGTATATCAATTCAATACAAATAAATAAATTCAGGAGTATTTTTTTGGCAAACTTTCGTTGCGGTACACTCCTACTAGAAATAGAAATTGGTAGGATGAACGGTATCGAGCGAAAAAAACAGATTGTGTAAATTATGTAAATCGGGAGATATAGAGGATCAATACCATTTTCTTTTGGGTTGCCGATCACTTTCACACATTAGAAAACAATATATCGATGTCGGGACGATTTCTATAGATCAGTTTATTTACCTAAAGTCAAATAAAAATGAAAGCATTATTAGAAATGTATCAATGTATTTACATCATGCAATGAATTTGAGAACTTCTATACTATCCCCACAGATATGAATTATTGTACCAATATGTTACTACACATATGAATATGCATATTTTACGCATGCGCATTAGGCTATTATATTGTATATGCATTCTATGTTGTAATGGGCCGTTGGCCTGAATATCAACTGAAATAAATAAATTCCGATACTTCTGATTGTGTAACACAGATTTCACGTCCAGAAATGTGTCAACAGCTATGAACATACAGAGGGATGTTGTATAGATACATTCAATTTGTCAATCCAACTACTTGTACTTGTCAAAACTGAAATACAATATGAACATGCACACAATAGCTAAATTGAAAGGCACATCTTGCCAAACAAGGTTTTCAAGAGCATATACACATAAATGTCAGTGTCTTTTACAGACTAATATGTGCACGTCTTGAGAAAGGTCAAAGTTCCTATTCCTATCTCAGTAAACAGGGTTGTTTAATCACACGTATATACACACAAATTTTGCATGACAAATAAGTTAATGCACAAAAGAGAATTTAACAAAAGGTTGAAATTCAAGATTATTCATGTGCATATCTTGGTATATAAGGTTCTGCAATGCATCACTGCCAAAATGCCAAGAAGCGAAGGCGACCTCCAAAGCACCTAACCACCACCACCAATGTAAACAACAATATATTTACACCCTAATTTCACATGACAAAGGAAGTTTTTACACATAACATTTTTATGCATCAATTGTGTTATTAGCCCGCCATTCCAATCATGTCAAAGGCTTTTGAAAAGTAGATAAATATGGCCAGAAGGTAGTGTTTGTTTGCTTGGGCTACTCTGATGGCGTTCTCTATTCGGATGATGTGATCTAGGGTTGTTCTGTTTGGCGTGAACCCGCTCTGGTCTGCATGTATGAGATTGTTTGTGTTTATGTAATGTTGAAGTCTTTTTTTGATGATTGTTTCCATGATTTTGCACATGTTTGATGTGAGTGATATGGGTCTGTATGAGTCTGGGTTCTGTGGTGGTTTGTTTGGTTTCCTTATTGGAATGACAAGTGCTTGTTTCCACGAAGTAGGAATTTGTGAGGTGTACCAGATTGTGTGAAGTAGATTTAGCAGTAGCGTTTTGCCGTGTAGGGTGAGCTGTTTTAGTAGTATATAAGTTATGCCATCTCCTCCTGGAGCAGACGACGTGGTTTTGCTTTGGAGAGCGTGTGTGAGCTCGTGTATTGTTAGGGATGCGTTGTAGGGTATATGGGCTTGGGGCGGTTGCATGACGTAAGCTGGTGTAGTGAGTATTTTCTGTTGGAGTGAAGCGTGATGATTAGTGTTTCTGCTTATGTGCTGATAATGCTGGGATAATGTTTGTGCTTTTAATTTATTATCAGTATAGTCGTGTATTTTATGGATTTGTGTAGATTTTTTTGTTCCGTTTATTGCCTTTAGTTTGTTCCACATGACTTTAGAATTATTTTACGTTATGTTTAGAGTGCTGCAGAAATTTTCCCAGTGTTCTTTTTGTGTATTTTTGATAAGCATGTGTGTACTGTTTTGAAGTTGTTTTGCGTGGGGGAGTTTGTGTGGATGTGTTTTTGCGCGTCTAAATGCTCGTTTTCTCTGTCTTCTTGCCTGTTTGATTTCTGGGGTCCACCAGGGAACCCTGTTGCGTTGGGAGTTAGGATTTGTTTTGGGAATACACTTAGTAGCTATGTTAATAATTTCTCTAGTGAAATTGTTGGAAAAGGTTTCAGGGGCTGAGCTGATAATTTGTGAATAGTCAGTTTGATTGATTAAGGTTTGGTACTTTCTCCAGTCTGCTTTAGTGTAGTTGAGTTTTGGGTCTTGGTGGGTTAGCTCAGGTGTAAGATTGGGACCAATATTGATATTTATTGAGATGGGGAAGTGGTCGCTTCCCAGGGTCGTCGAATACTTCCCAAGTTGATTTGCATGCCAGATTGGGCGTGGTGATGGTTAAGTCTATTGCTGTTAGGGTTTTGATTTTCCTGTTGGCTGTATCTGGTTGGGGATTTGTCATTTAAAAAATAATTAGGTCGTTTTGCTGTGCCCATTCGTATAGTAAATTTCCAAATTTGTCTGAGTGGTTTCTGGTGGTCCAGCTATGGTGATGCGCGTTTAGATCTCCTAAAAAGATTGTGTGTTTAGAAATATGGTTAGCTAGTATTTCAAGGTCAGTTTTGTCCATAGGGTTTGTGGTTTGGTGATATATGTTGACTAGTGTTATGTTTGTTTTTTTCTGTCATGATTACATGTGCTTGTGTTTCCAAGTGGGGTTTGTTTATTTGTATTTATTTGTAACTGAGTAAGTCATGTATGAATAAGGAAAGGCCACCGCGAGAAGCGTTTGGATTGTTTATTGTGCGGTATTTATTGAGTGTGGAGTAGTTTGGTATAGTGAATTGTTTATTTTTTTGTATTTTTGATTCTTGAATGGCTATTATTTGTTGATTTAGCTTATTTAGTTTTATGAGTGATTTTATTACATAGGATTTAGGTATGAAGCCATTTGCATTCCACTGGATAATATGCATAATGACTACTGGTAGTAGTGCAAGTAGAAGCATGTGTAGTTTAGATTGAACGCGTTTGTTGTGTCTCATGTTAGTTTGACGGTTTTAACATTGTGTTGAAATTGTGCTAATGGGAGCGTGTAGAGTGAGGTTTGGAGGAGATATTCGTGAATTGTTTCTATTGTGTTGTTGGGAGAGAGAGTTAGTGCGGTAATGAATTCTATGAGCTTATGTTGCACATTTTGTAGTTGCGTAATTGTGACTTGTGCTGTGTGTTGTGGGCTCGGAGTTGGGTTTGATCTGTGGATTTGAGGGCAACTGCTGGTTGCTCAAGGCTGGCTGGGGTGGCTGTGACAGCCGGGGCGGCAGCTTTGTTTTGTTTTTGTGTTGTGTGATCCTACGACCCCGGAAGACGCCAGACTAGCTGAGCGACTGGAGCTTGGTGCTCTTGACTCTTGGGGATTTAATGGTGGTGGGAATACGTCGTCGTCGTCATCTGAGGATGCGTACGACTGGGGTTGGTCGTACCAATTGTATATTTTGGAGTTTAAGGGTTTGGCAGGGGCGGGTAGGTCAGATGCTGTGAGATGTTTATTTATTAATAGGATTTTGTTTTGGCGAACTGGGCAGGAGTTTGAGAAGGCGGTATGATCGTCCTGATCACAGTTTATACAATACAGTTGTTGAGTGCACTCTTATACAATACAGTTGTTGAGTGCACTCTGGACTGTTATGGAACTCGGAGCTGCTTTTGGAGCATCTGTCTAGGTTTTTGCAATTTGATTGAACATGTCCGAAAAGGTGACAGGTAGTATATTGAATTGTTTTTTTTTCTAGTTTTGTGTACTTTGCAAGAGATTGATCCACATATAATTTTATCAGGAAGTTTGGTGCCTTTGAACGTCAGGATGACAGTGGAAGTGTTTGATGGAGGACTGTGTGGGTTTTTTTCTGGTGATCTTGAGTAGATTGGTGATTTGAGGATGGGTTTGGAGTTTGTTTGATTCGTATACATATGTCTGAAGGTCATGGTCAGACTCCGCTGGGTCAGTGTAATTGACCCCTTTTGTTTCGGATAGCCAACAGGGTGTTTGCCAAGATAGGTTGAGGCCATCTATTGATGTATTTTTCATTGCCGCATTGAAGTCGTCTTGATGCTGAAAGTTTATTTTGAAAGCCCTGCCGCAGTTGTTTAGGAATTTGAATTTGAGATTAGATTGTTTTAGTATAAGCCCAAATCTGTTTTTTGTGTACAGGGAGGTGAGAGGTGTGGGACCGGTATTGAATGCGAGAAGTATTAACTGTTGGTTATTGTTTGGTTGTGTTTGGTTAGAACCTTGTCGTTTTTGCATCTTGGATTGTG